AACACTTTATAATACATATGAATGAAGATAGTTTTCTTCACTGAGTCTACCTTTTTTTTTAATATATATAGAATGCAAAATAATTTCTCATTTAATTTTACCGGATGTGTAAGACAGTTGCTGAACTTACCCTGTAGAAACAAATTTTGTTGACCAAAATGTTTTATAGTCTTTCCACTTGCCAGTTTACATTTCTGATTCCAAATATTTAGATATTGTACTATTTACAATATGAATTATTTTTTGAAAAAGAACTTTATTAAAAAACCAGATGCGGACTAGTACATGGCTGACTGCTATTCGAGTCCTGGACCTGGTGGCTTGCTTTCTCACTTTCCTTTTCTCCTCTTACTCTGTCCCTCTCTGATCAGATTAAAAGAAAGAAGAAAAGAGATAAAGAGAGAGAAAGAGGAAGGAAGGAAGGAAGGAAAAGTTAAATAAAATAATTATTTTTTTAAAGAATAAGCCAGACTCAGGGGCTGGCAGGTGGTATGGTAGTTAAGGCACTGGACTCCCACACAGCTGACCCACAGTTTGAGTTCCAGACCTGGTGGCTTGCTTTCTTACTTTCTCTTTCTCTCTATCTCTTTCATCAAATTAAAAAAAAATTATGATGACCAATAAAATTAAATAATTCATTTTTGGGAAAAATAAATAAATAAAAAGCCAGACTCTAGCCAGCTGGTAGCATGAAGGTTAAGGTGGCTGGATCCCATATGGCTGACTCTGCAGTTCAAGTCCCAGACCCAGCAGCATAAAAAATATGTCAGGCACATGCCCAAAATCCTGAGAGGAGAATGTCTCTGTTTCTGTCGCTGTCTCTCTCTGACAAGTGCACACACTCTATAGCAAAATAATTTTTAAAAATTTTTAAAAGCCAGAGTTTCAAGCTAGTGCATTAGCAAGTAGTTGAGGGAGCCAGATTCCCCCATGGTCAATGGCAGTTCAAATCCTGACCTCAGCAGTTTAAAAAACATGCCAGGCATGAGTAAATGTGTGCCCCAAATCCCAACAGGATGGAGAGATGAGGGAAAAGGGATTGCAACATGATCCTGTTCCTCCGAGATGTTTTCTTCCCCTGCCTCCCCCTCTCTCGCTGTCTGTCTCTCTCTCCCTCTCTCCTCTCTCTCTTCCTCTGTGTGAGTGCATGTGCCCTCTGGCAACTTAAAAATAAATAGATTTACCATGTAAAACTAGATCCCTAGGGATTCACCATGCAAAGTTTCCTCATTATTACAGTAAGTATACAATTATGCTATTTTATTTCATACCTCATCTTATTCTAAGGTTGTAAGGGGCTTGCAATAAATGCATACCTAATAGTCTAAGTCAAAGAAAGATGAGAAACAAAATGATGGAAGAAGTAGATATTTGATATTCACATACTGGAATTCTGTTGAGAGCCTTTAAGAATAGTTTGGAGAACATTGTGACTTCATGTAATTAGTGTTCATAGAAGAGCCCTCTTAATGGTTGTGAGACAAGCACTCCCCAAACAACCTTGCACAAATTTTTGAAGTCAGATCTTCATATCTTACCAATTATAGGAGAGAAATAGAAAAGCTCATTGAATTTTCCAGTGGTATGCTACTTGTCATTGCATTTGAAAGGAAGAAATAATGCATGGTATTTTGAGATTCTCTTTCAAATCTAGAAGCATTGACAGTGGCAACGATGAGGTAGAGGGTAAAGCTGAGGTGAACCATGGTGAAGACCAGTGCCCTCATTTGGGGGAAGTCTGCTTCAGCCCTTCATTCAGTGAATTGTTTTAGACAGTGCAGGGTCATGCTTCATTTTATCTTTTGAGAATGATGCACTTGTGCAAAATGCAAACTTGCAAAAGAGACACTTTATAGAAAACAGATTCCTAGGGTTAACGCATCTAGTCAGCCCTACTTCCCATACGAAATCTACCTTCCAAAACAAGTAACGGAATATTTTCCTCTTGGCAACTCTAGATAGCAAGGAAAGGTCTAATTGGTACGGAACGACAGGGAGGTAGGTATAAACACTTTAGAAACATTTCCCTCATGGGTGATTAAATTTTCCTAAATTTAATATATGAGAGATTAAATATCAGCTGTCTAAACAATTTTTCCAAAACACCACACTGGTTAGTTAGATAAGGTCCAATTAGAGAAGGTATTTTGGTAACGTTAAAATATTCTTTTACTTAAGGAATACATTGGTGTGTGCTTGATGAATAATTTTAAATGATGCTCAAATGTAAGACAGGTTAATCATTTTTATTTATATCATATTCTTTAACCTAGAGTAAGATTTGCTGTATACCCTGGTTCTTGTCTTCATAGGGTTCCTTTAGCCAGCAGAGCTTACATCAGGACAGCTGGATTGCGATCTACCATAGCATGGGCCATGGCTTCACTGGCTGAAATTAAGGTAACAAGGTCCTTCCCATTTTAACCTACACAGTCTCTTCCTTGATCGACACCTTAGTTGCATGCTTTTTCTTTCCTTACTCTTTTGTTTGATGTTTTTCTCCTTGGCACTGCACTTAAAAACTGCTCTGTGATTCGTTTTTATATATTGTTGAACTTCTGAGGGTATTTTTGCTATGAAAAAAATGAAGTAAAAAAATAGCTACAAGTGTCAGCAAGTGACATGGTAGTTAAGGCCCTGGACTTGCACATGGCTCACTGTGGTTCAAGTCCTGGACATGGTGGCTTGCTCTCTCACTTTCATATCTCTCTCTCACTTGGTCACTTTACCTCTCTGTCTCTGATGAGCACATGTGCCGTGTAGCAAATTTTAAAATAATAATAATAATGATAATGATAATAAAATTAAATAAGTAATTTTGTAAATTCGTGTGTGTGTGTATGTGTGTGTGTGTGTGTGTGTGTGTAAGTTTTTGCCTTAGGTTGTGTGCGCTCACTGGAGAGAGAGAGAGAGACACACACACACACAGAGACAAAGACAGAGAGAAAGAGAGTGAAAAATCACCGCCCAGGGGGCATGGCCATGTCACAATCCCTTCATCTCCATTCTCCTCCCAGATCTTGGGCATGCATGCACATGCGCCTGGCATGAATTTCAAGCCACTGGGTCTGGGATTTGAACAGTGGTCAGCCTGTGGGAGTCCAGCAATGTAACCTCTATACCATCTACTGGCCCTTAAATAAGTAATTATTAAAAAAAAATGTATCACGATCAGAAAATATGGCCTGTGGTACCTCTTCTACTTAAATTTTAAAGCTTTTTTTTTTAATTTGCTGTATGATATTTATGCTCACCAGGGAGATAGAGAGAGAGAAAGTAAGAAAGCACACTCCAGAGGAGAGGGCCACACCACACAGTCCCCTCTTCTTCATTCTCTTCTTGGGATTTTGGGCATGCATTCACATGTGTCTTGCGTGGTTTTCAAGTCACTGAGTCGGAGACCTGAATCACAGTCAGCCATGTTGGATCCAACTAGCTTAACTACCATACCACCGGCTGACCCAACTTCTTAAATTTTAAGGTTTTTTTAAATCTGTAATCAGGATCTTGGCCAAGTTTTTATAAATGTTCTATGGACGTGAAAAAATAATTTTATTTTCTAATCATGAAACGTCCTGTATTATCTTTACTTTTTATGTTAGCTATCTGCTCCATTCTAAAAGAGGTATTTTAAAATCTCATTATGTTATTGTATGTTTTTTAATTAAGTTTTTACATTTTTACCAGTTCCATTATTCAGCTGCTGTGATTTGGTATATACATTTATGACTGTTATGGCTTCATCATCAATTGTACCTTTTCATTATTATATAAAGTTCTCTCTTTTTTTATTTCTTTATTTAATTTTGTTATTATTTATTATTATTTTTATTTGACCAAGGAGAAAGAATGCAAGAGAAGGGAAAAGTGAGAAAGCAAGCTACCAGATCTGGAACTCGAACCACAGTCAGCCATGTGGGAGACTAGCACCTTAGCCACCACACCACCTGCTGGCCACAAAGTTCTCTATCTTGGTTAGTAAGATTAAACTTAAATTTCTCTATACCTTATTAATATTTTACTCCTTTCTTTTTGTTTGCATTAGCCTGATACTTTCTTGCCACTGTTTTACTTTGAACTTTACGTAGTTCTTATAAACACACAGCTATCTTTAGCCTGCTCCGATGGTCCCTATCTTTCAACAAGAGATTCAGTAAATGTTCTTACAAATGTTCTTGACTGTACTCCTCCTCCGTTCATAACTTCTTATGCTGTTTATTTTTATTTTTTTGCTAGTGATTGAGTTACTTGCTAGTCATTGCATTTTTCTTCCTGAGGTTGAAGATTTTACTTTACTGTTCTCTTCCATTCTGTTCCTTTTCCCAGCTCTCTTAATTAAGCACATATAACTCTATTACTTAAAACCAGGATATCAATGATTTCCTCTGCCAGGACACAGTGTTTCACCACCAAGACAATCAGCTTCTCTAGCTTCCCTGCTTTCCTATCGTGAGATGAGATCTTAGAGTACTTTTTTCTCTTCTCCTCCTCACCTTTAACTCTCTCCACAGTGCGACCTTTGAAACATTTCACTCCTTCCTCTCCCAATTTCTAACTACTAAACTGAATAACTTTTAATTGAATAAATTATTCACATAACTTCTCTTAAATGTTTGTGCCTCTTCTGTTTCAAAAGTTCTTAGTTCGTACTTCCTTACACATCTGATCATTGAGGTACAGTTGTGTATAGCACTCGCACACACGTTTGTATACACACGCACAGACATGGTGTAAGGACGGCCCTCCTTACCATCTTGCTCTCTGTTCCCTCACTTGAGGCCTCCACTCAACTTTATTTGTTGCTTGATTAAAGTCTTGTCTTCTAGGTATTTTCCTCAAGTGTGGTATTTGAATAATGAATACTGAACAAATTCCTATATCTCCTCAGATTTCCTCCTTTCATCTTTGTTGAGTGTAAGAGTCTTGAGTTGCAGGTCTTTTCTCTCAGATGTCTGTAGGCACTGTTCTATTGTCTTTTGAGTGCCCTGTGTTGTAGATGAGCTGTCCCAGCTGGTGGGATATTTCTTTTTCATTTTAGCTACTTTCTTTCTGCTTAGAAGCTTGTGGTATTTTTTTCTTTAATCTCAACATTCAGGACTATTATCAGGATGGGCTTATATATCTGTCTTTCCCTTTCAGCCCAGACCTTCCTGAGTCGGACTGCCTGGGTTTTAATTTTGACTCTAGCACCTACTGACTAGGAAACGTTGGGCAAGATACATCATATTTCTATGCCTCAGTTTCTCATTTGCAAGATGAAAATAGTACTATTATTTCATAGGATTCTTGAGGAGTAAGTGAATTAGCATTAGTAAAGTGATGGAAACAGTGCCCAAGTTATGAAACTATGTAAGTACAAGGAGTCTTCAAAAAGTTTATGGAAAACACTTTTATGAAAAATCTGTATGGATTGGGGCCAGCAGGTACCGTGGAGGGTAAGGCAGCTGGATCCAACATGGCTGACTTTGCAGTTTGAGTCCCAGATCCATGACTTGGAACTCACACTGATGCATATGTATGCATGCCCAAAATCCTGAGAGGAGAATGGATAAGGGATTGTGGCATGGCCATCTCCCCTGGGAACTTACTCTCACTTCCTTCTCTCTCTCTCTCCCCAATGAACAAATATGCCCTATAGTCAACTAAAAATAATAAAACTAAATTAAAAATCTATATATGGGGATCAGCAGATGGTGTAATGACTATGTCGCTGAACTCCCATGTAGTCGACTATGGTGCAAGTCCTGGATTCAGTGGCTTAAACTCACACCGGGCACATGTGCGTGCATGCCCAAGATCCTGAGAGGAGAATGGATAAGGGATTGTGGCATGGCCATCTCCCCTGGGAACTTACTCTCACTTTCTGTCTCTCTGTCTCTCTCTGTCTTTCTGGCAAACGCATGCACCCTATAGCAAAAGCTATAAAAAAAAAATCTGTATCTAGATTTCAAATTGTTTTTGGACCAAAATAAACTTGTACTTTAATTCCATATTCTTTTTGAGTTTCCCCCTGTATTAGCTACCACTGTACTAATAATGATTTAAATTATTATTGGAATATATAATTATTATTGTAAAACAATCACAGTTCTTTTTCCAGTTCAAACAATCTTTCTCTACAGTTTCTTATTTAATCATTTAAAAATAATTATTTATTTTATTTTATTTATTATTTTTTAATTTGATCAGAGAGAGAGAAGGAGAAGGAAAGTAAGAAAGAAGCCACCAGGTGCAAGACTCAAACCATGGTCAGCTGTATGGAAGTCCAGTGCCTTAACCACCAAGTCACCTGCCAGCCCCTCTTATTTAATTATAATTACCTCTCAACTCTTAAGTGAATTTAACTTTAAACTACTCTTTTTCTCCTTCTAAAATTCTTGTTGCGAACACGTTGAGCTTCCTGGCTCTGTCCTCCAAGTCTCTTATCCTTTCTCACGTGGTTTTCATTGCTTTATGTCTTAGCTCTATGTTTCGAGTTATTCTTGAACATTATCTTCCAAGTTGTAACAAGAGCCACAGGGATATGCTGTACTTTCATTTTTTTATTGATATTTTTAGCTTAAAATCATATTTTTTTAGCTTCTTAAAAGATGTATGTGTTACATTCAGATACCTGTGGAAGCTCTTCCTGTGCTCACATATGTCCCTGTCTCCTCCGGTAGTTAGTATTTCTGCTTCACTAGGCGTGTTCTACGTGTTCTGCCTTTTACTCTCTGACTGCTGAGGACTCCACCTCCCCCAGCTGAGCCATTATTTTTCTTAATTGGCTCACGAGGGGTAATGTATGTTTATTAAAGTATTTAAGTGGCCAGAATCTTATACATGATAAAAAGCAAACAAGTCTCTGGCACACCTGGGTTTGCCATCATAAAGAAAACCTGCCAGTCCTGCTGCTGCAGTACCTGGAGGAGACGTCCTTCTTTGGTCCATAGATTGCTGAAGACCAAGCTCCTCTATGTTGTATTGGCTCCCTCTGGGCTCCAGTGCCTTTCTCTAATCATCCGCCCACGCCATGGCAAGGAAGCCCTCTGCAGTCCTCCTTCTGGAACCCCAACAGAGCCTGGGGCTCCTTGTAGTACTAGTTGCCTAGGTCTAAGTATCACTTGGCTCAACAAAAGTAAAGAGCTTGCAGTTGGAAGAAGAGGAAGGAATTATATTTAGATTACCACATACCCAGACCCAGGATTGCCCTTTTTGTTTGATTTAAATCTTTAGTCCAAATTTCTTTTAGTATAAGGAGTCAGAGGTTTAGTTATTTTTTTTCTTTGTCCTCAAACTGCTAGTAATTTCACCACAGTTCATATTTAATTGTAAATTTATTTAATCCCTACAAATTTGAAGTATTACCTTTGTCTTGATCTAGACATATATTTTTCAGAAAAGTCCAAAGTAAATAATTAAAAATACCCAAAAGTAATGCTTGATATATAACTTTTGCTTACTGTGGGCCTGCTAACACTAAGAACAAGAATCTCGGAATGTGGGCAGTAGCCAGTGAGCCCATTAAAGATGTAAGGAGCACCAGGGAACCAGCAGTTAGCGTAATGGCTATGTCGCTGGACTCCCACGTAGTCGACCACAGTTCGTGTCCCGGACCCGGTGGCTTAAAACTCACGCCGGGCGCATGTGCGTGCGTGCCCAAGATCCCGAGAGGAGAATGGAGGAGAAGGGATTGCAGCGTGACCATCCCCCCTGGGGGGTGATTTCTCGCTTTCTGTCTCTATGTCTCTCTCTGTCTGTCTGGCGAGCGCACGCGCCCTACAGTGAAAATCTCTCCAAAAAAAAAAAAAAAAAAGATGTAAGGAGCACCACAACACTCTCTTAGAGGGACTGCAGTCATAACCCGCCTGTAAGTGACCCTGTATCCAACTCAACCCACTTCTCTGCTTGGAGATAGTTCCACCCTGACAAGACCAATGCCACATAAAGTGAACTTGTAAAAAGGGATGTTAGGTATTTTTCATGTTTACTATAAATTGTCCTCCTTCCTGTTATCTCCTTCCTGTAAATGTCACGACTAGAAAAGGTCCGAAGGTAACATGGAACTATTTAAGGTCATGGTACTTCATTGAATACAGACTGTAAGAGAGGAAGACACAATGTGGCACATTCGAATTCTTAATAAAAACCAATTCTCATACTGTTATTAATTTGAAACAAAATTGCCACTTAAGTTGTATTCTTGTTGTTACTTACTACCCTCTATGGGAGAGCCATATGATATGTTCTTCAGAATGTAGCACCAGGGGAATGATTCCCTCTTCTGAGGAGCATTTTCTTTCTTTCCATTAGGTAACCTATGACTCTGGCTGAAACTTGGCTGTCCACTGAGGTCTCCTTCCTCTGTAGACATAGTGAGATGGATGTGTTTCCTCCCACATCCCAAGTACCACTGGGCCTGAAGGTGGGGTAGGTGTCCTGTTTATTCCTTCTTGCCCCTTCTGGATGACTGTTTCCTCCCATCTGCCAGAATGTCTCAGGGCCTTTGAAGCACACGCCTTCTGGTTCCCAGTCATGCACAGATCTCTCTTCCTATCTCTCTGGATCACCATTGCTGTCTTAATCTTTCTGATTTCCATAGTCACCCATAGCCTGTTCCTTAATGTCTTGGCTTCCCTTCCTCTATTGATCTGCCTTCATTCACTCTTAGACATTGTCCTACCCTTTGGAAGGGCATCCCTTCCAGAAATCTCAGTTTCAAAGATCCTTCTCATCACCACCTACTCTTTCCTGTTTGCTTCCTCCAGTCCCTGGATCTAATCCCACAGGGACCTCCAGTCACTTGACTGACCTCTGTCCATTACTTACGCCTGTCCACATTCCTTTTTCACAGCCTGGATTTTATGTCCAATCATTGTAGTCATTTCTTCACCTATACTTTTTAATTTCATGCTTCTTATTTGACCTAAATATTAGAAGCCAAAGAACTTCAGCATGCTGTCCTCACCTAGTCTACCAACATTTCGGAATCTGTGTCCACGTATTCTGCTTTATCTTTATGATGATAAGTAAAGTCTCCTTGTTCCACTCCAGTATTTGGGTCCCACTCTTTTTGCATATCAAGGACTTTTCCTTCTACTGTATCACTGCCATCTGCATGTACTCCTGCTGTTCTTACAACCTAAAATAAAATCCCTCTCTGGAACCCACATGTTCCTTCAGCTACCTTCCCTGTCTTTGCTTCCTTTTACAGAAAAATTCTTCAAAATAGTCGGTATTATCTGCTTCCTTCCTTCCCATTCACTCTTGTACTGACTTCTGTCAGGCTTTCATCAGCAACACTCCACTGAAGTTGCTCATCTACTGACCCTAGGTCTCTTTGTGGTCACTCTCCTTCTTGAAACAGTTTTCTTCACTTTGTTTTGGGACCACCACTCTAGGTTCTCCTCCTACATTGATCAGTATGTGCTGCTTCTCTGTGTGCATGGCTAGATTTTCATCTTCCAAACATAAGCTCAGGAGATCACTGGGACCCCAATCCAAACCACGGATGTTTAATTCCTCTTGCTTCCTACATGATCTCTAGTTCTGATGCTTTAACTACCATTTATAAACTGACCAACACTGGTTGTTCCCAATGTTATGTATATAGCCTGAACCTCTCCCTTGAACTCTAGGTTCATATGTGGAGTGACTCACTTGGCAACATTCTTGGAGGTCTAAGAGGTATCTCAAAATTACTATGTCTGAAACTACATTCTTGTCATCCCTAGCCCCTTTTTCCCAACTCTTCCCATCTCAGTAACAGGAAACTAACTCCCTTCTTCTGGTTGCTCAGGTCAGACACTTCAGTTATTCCAGACTGTCCTCTTTCTTCAACATTCCACATCCTGTCCATTCTATAGCTCTGCCATTTGAAGTATGTTCAGAATTCAGCCATGTCTTCACCACTTCCACCAGTACCGTTACCATTCTTAATTCAACCCACTGTGACCTCTTGCCTGGATCCCCTAACTAAGTAGCCTCCCTATTAACACACTCACCATTCTGGCCTGTTCTGCGGCCTGTTCTCGACAGGGGAGCTACGAGGATCCCTTTGAAGTCTAAGGTCACGTGACTTCTCGAAACCTTCCAATAGCTTCCTAACCTTCAGAACAGAACCAAAATCCTTATAGCACCTACAAGATCTGACATAATGCAATCCAGAGTGGGAGTCATGGGTGTTTTCTCCAGATGTCTTGTTCTCCTCCCAGGTACACATAGGAATATACTTTCCTGACACCTGAAACTGTGTACCATGTGACTAACATGCATTAGCCAGTTAACTGCTCGTCAAAGGGATGAGTGGCACTTTGAGACGGCACCTTTTGGAGCCATTGCAGTTTTTCCTGCTTCCTCTCCCTCTGCCACAGTGATGGCGGCACTACATGCCGATATGCCCACTTCATTAGTTTTGCTTCTGGCCTGAGGAACAGAGGCCCAGGTGCCCTATTGTGGGCATGTAGCTGAGCTACATGATGTTTTAACCCCTGAAGACTCGGAAGTTGTTATGACATCAGCATAACCCAGCCCATCCTGATGGGATCACCATACCACTCTGATGTTACTGCCTCCTTTTCCCTCTTTCTGTGCTTTGGCCACGATGGCCTCCTTCCTTATCTTTTTTATTTATAGATAATTATTTTACATGTTTGTGAGGTATAGTCTGGTTTTTTTAAACCTGTATATAGTGTAAAATAATCAAATCAAGAACATAAGCACACTCACCATGCTCACCATTTAATACCACACTGTTGTAGATACTCAAAAATCACTCTTGATTTTTTGGAAGTATATGTTGCTTTTTCGCTGATGTTTATTACTCTACTGTGGTACACAATTCCAAAGCCTATTCCGCTTGTTTACATGCACAATTTTAACCAATTTCTCCCTATTCCCATCTCCCTCTCCTCTAACATTTAATATCTTCTCAGCTTCTATGCTCTCTTGTCCTTTAGCTTCTGCTAATGAGTAAGGACACTCAGTTGTTATTAAATGAAGACAAAATTGTCTTTCATAACCTGACTTACTTTGCTTGGTATTGTACTTCTACATTCATTTGCTTTTTAAACATAGCATGCACGCACCTGTCTGACTTAGAGCTTTAACTTTGTGAAACTCCAAATAAGTGTAAAGTGGAATGTTGACCCTTGAAATAGTGATTTCTCTCATTTTAGGATTTTTTTTTTGGCACTTTCTATAGTAAACTTAATAATACCAACTTAATATTTCTGTCTACAGGCCGGTGCATTTGTTTTAGATCCGATGTGTGGACTTGGAACAATACTTTTGGAAGCTGCTAAGGAATGGCCAGTAAGTTCTTTTTTTTTTTTTTTAATTATTTTATTTAACTTTATTTATCTTAATTTGACCAGAGAGGGATAGATTAAGAGTGAGAGCAGGAGAGACAGAGAGAAAGAGAAAATAAAAAAGCAAGCTGCCAGGTCTGGGACTTGAACTGCAGTCAGCCATGTGGGAATACAGTGCCCTTAACCACCACACCACCTGCCAGCCCCTGGCCAGTAAGTTCTAAAGTTTAGTAAACCAAGCAAGCTGTATATTTACTTTAATCATTGTATATATATTTACCAAGTATTCAAGAGATTATCTATTTGGGGATTGTAATTTGAAATTATATGACTTCACTGTAGTTAAAATAGATTATGAAGGGTTAATCAAATTGCTATTTTATTTCTCTAAATACTGTGATCAATTTAGGAAAATATGACAGAATTCTAATAATCAGTCATGATCTAATGTATACTAATACCCAAATTTTTTAGCCATTTGTTATTGTAAAACATTGACAGATTTAAAAATTTTAACAAAAACTTTTTGTTATTTGCTATTAAATATCATTTGAAGGACTAATCAATTTTATTTTAACCTAAGTTTTTAAATCTGTTAATGTAACTCTTATTGAGATAATGCAAGTAGATTTTCTTTTTTTTTTTTTTTAAGTTTTGGTTTTTTTGTTTGTTTGTTTGTTTTTTGCTATAGGGTGTATGTGCTCACCAGAGAGACAGAAAGTGAGAAGTCACCACCCCCACTCCCTGAGGGTGCATGGCCACGCCCGAGTTCCTTCTCTCCCTTTCTCCTCTTGAGATTTTGGACACGCATATTCATGCATCCAGCTTGAATCTTAAGCCACTGGGTTCAGGACTTGATCTGCAGTTGACTGCCGATGTGAGAGTCTTAACAACATAACCATTATGCTATCTGCTGGTCCTAGCAAGTAGATTTTCAGAATTACATAAAAAATTAGTAGTTTTATTTATACCTAAAATATTAATTTCTTTCCCATAGGATGTATATTACGTGGGTGCTGACGTCAGTGACTCACAGTTAATAGGTGCAGGTGACAATCTGGAAGCTGCAGGCCTTAAGGATAAAATCGAGTTACTTAAAGTCTCTGTTATAGGTAAGATATTAAAATGCAATTTGGAGAAATGAACATATGTAAATAGATTTAGAATAATTATATAAAATAGAATTCACTCTCTGTATGTAAAAGTTTAATTGTGCACTGTAATTTGTCCGTGAACTAATAATCAGTTTACTTTCAGTATTATAGTTGTAACTTTTTTATTTTTCAAAATGTTCATGATTGGGAAACAACTCATTTATATTGTTTCTGTAAGCATTTAAGTAAAAGCAAAATGTGTTTGCTGCATCTGAATCATTTCTCATATCAAAACCAGGGATCACTTAATATAGACTTAAAATCAGGGTAGTATAGTAATAATAAAAACACTAAATTTCTTTCAAAATATTAGGTTGTCAGGAAACTCAGAGGTATTTTTTCATGTTTTTCTGTGCAAAAATGCATCATGACTTTCCCAAAGACCCAACATATGAAATGTCCTGAGTTGCCTCACACAGGACAGTATCTCCTTGAGATACACAAGAGTGCATTAACCTCGCATCCGAATTTGTTAAATCAATACTTCCAGCACTAAAATCAGAAATGTCTGGGAGAGCCAGGACAGCAGGTCACCCTGTGAAGTAGAAAGCGCCAGCCCCTAACACTAGGAATCAAGTCCAGTGAATCCAATCAAACTAGTATTACCCCAAAATTCATGATATTAATATATATATATATGTATGTATGTATGCATGTGTATATATTTATTTATT